ATATTGAATGAGAGCAGAAAAATAATTAAACGCTGTTATCCATTAATGATTATTGCAAATATATCAGAAATAATAATATGCGTTTGAGGGAGTTCTGTGTATAACAATTTGTTGAAAGAATCATCTTAACGTGCTTTCTGCTTATAAGTAAGTAAATTTCGTTGCTCTAAGCCTTGGCGTTGCTTTGTCCGAAGCCAACATAGATAAGGTACTGCGTACTGCAGCTGCCTCTGGTGTCATCTATCTTCCAAAATATCTTCTTCTTTCTCTTTCTGCTTTTTCTCTTATCAAAATCAAGTAAAATCCGGGAAAGGACATGGTGATGCCGCTGCGGACAGCACTCGCAGTCCAGCCTCAGAAGAGCAAATTCTGCTGTGTAAAAAAATTACAGAATGATCCATTCGAAAATTAGTTAAATACAGTTACTTTTACCACGATATCGAAGCATCAACATTTAGTCAAGTAGTGGTTCACTGCGACTCCCAGGATTTATAGTAAAGCACTCAGTTTTTATGTATGTTTGTTAGGTGTTTTTCCATTGCCGCCAAAGCTGGCAAGACGGTTACTAATTTTAATAGCGATAGACATGCTCAACGGTTAGTTAGGAGCTCTGCACTTTTCATCCGATTGCGCTGAGAAGTGGGGTTAAACTTCTACATTTGCAACATATAATCTTTCGCTCATCCTTTTCAAGGCAGGAGCAGGTTTGTATGGGGATGCTTTCATATGTTCTACTACTTTTGCAAATGGGCCAATGCAAATATCTCCAAAAAAGAGGGGAGTATTGTTAGAATTATCAAGGAAATGCAGCGACAACTTTACAAGGAAACAAACCTGGTAAAATAGGTCGACGGCATACTCCATATTCCAATTGGCCCTCGACAAGCAAGTGTAAGCTATTTGTTCGCTGGTCTGGGTCCATGTTACAAAGTTCTTGATCTGAATATTCACTATTTGAACCATAAGTAATAGGATTACCAAAGTGAACTAATAACATACTTTGGCCTTTTGTTCAGACTTGAGCTTATTCATCTGTGTATTGCCTAGGTCAGTAATATAAGGGACAAAGCTGTTTGCGTTAACGCTGTTCGCAGTTGTCAGACGAACGCGTTTAGCAGGACGTTGCGCCAGAATGGAACCCCTGTAAAAACATTACAAATGCGAATTTACTATTGATACCAAATAGCCATCATCATATCAAAGAAAGTGCTAAGTTCATGTAATGTCTTCAATACAGTATAAATCGATGAACACCGCATAAAAGCATGCGCAGAATTACCTTTAGACGATAACTATCAACATCTTTTCCAATTAGTCAAATTAAGATTTAAGTTCTAATAACGATGCGAGAGTTAGCGCCAAACTCCCATACGAGGAAATAACCCTAATATTCTTGATTAAACGAGAAACATTGATTAAGCTTATGCTAGAGCTGGTGCTTGACATTTTGGAAGAATGAATGAGGAACATAAAGAGGAACAATAATTCTAAATGAAAAACCAAGGTAAAAAAGTCAAGCGTTTCACTGTCTTCCTGGAAGCAAGGCAAAGAAAATTGTATGATTGTACGACGTGAGGATACAAGAATAAAAACTACTAGATGAGAGAGAAATGTAGACTCGAGAATGAAATAAAACGAAATAAAACAAAAGAAAGTTGATAACACCGCAGAAGACATTGAGGAGCTCACTTTCTACAATGTTCCGGAAAATGCGTGCGGTTCATGTCGATGACGCAGGAAGCGGTATCGATCGGTGGCGGAGGAGCAGACTGAGGGTGTTCAGTCATCAGCTGACCGTGTCAGCTCTTAAAGGGCACTTGTCCTTGTGCAGCTTTTCAGCTACAGAGGTTTCGCTCAGTGTTTCAAGTCATCTTATTCACATACATACCACCAAAAAACTTTTTTATTCAGTATGATGATTGCGCTTCTCAAGAGTCTGTGCTGCCATTCTTGGCGGCAGATACCACCTAGTTGTAAATTCCTTCAATCGTTATTACCCATGGCAAGCTCCTATTTAATTCTTCTCACAATATAGATTGTTGGGAGAAGAGTCTCTGCCTTATCAATGCATGCATCAAGATCAGTTTTGCCCAGGAAGCAGTAATGCTAGATGTGCCTTTCAGTTTTATCAAAGCTTACTACAGGACCTCAGTCCTTGCGTAACTTTTTAGTTTGTGCGTGTAATCGTCCTTGCAATCCCATTCACGCAGGATCTTGTGTCCGAGTTTAACCTTTCCTCATCATTCTATAGGCTTGGTGTTCGTAATCCAAGATTTCCCAGATCCATTCTTCCTACTCACAATCTATACCAGCGGTAGCGCCTCACCTACATCTTCTGGACAACTGGGGTAACCTTTATTCTCATCGTGAGGCCAGTCATCGCAGTATCGTAGTATTAATGACCGCTACTTGTTCTCTTCTTTCAGTATATTCAGCCAGCATAACTGCCATACAGTGTTGGTGGGATTACAGTATGATACATCTTTGATTGGAGATGCGACGGCATTCATTTGTTACAGAGACACCTGATAAGCTGCCCCTTTCACCAGGCTGCCCTTATTCCGGCAAGCTCGCTTCGATTCCCCTGCGGATATGCCTTCCTAGGTATTCGAACAACTTCGTTTTCCTTCACCAGTGATGACGCGGTTGTGCTCTAAGCGCTGAGTTGGAGCCGTGCATTTCCAGTCGTCTTCCATCTTGGCACTTTTTCTGCTCTCTTTTATTAAACCACAATATATATGCCGCCATACCACGTGGTAATATACACACATCAAAATATCACCAGCGTCAAAAGGAGGCCTGTGTACCCGACTTCATTCATCACTGTGATGAGGAAGGAAGAGAGTATCGCACCTCAGTGCAACACTTTTGAACGTCAGGCTGCCGTCTGTGCAGGGCTGGTAGCTTCATGACAGATGATTTTAATCCATTCGACATATTTTTTCGGGACCACTTGTTTCCGCAGAGCCCCTAACGATTTGGGATAGTGCCTTGTCGAATGATTTTTGAGTTTAAAAAGCAGCATGGGATCTTTTTTTTTAAATTTTATACTTTTCCATTGCTGTCCGTACAGTTTCGTTGACGTCAGTAGTACTAGAACCTTGCAAAGCAGCACTGTTCGGTAACAAGTCTATAATCTTTTGAAGTCGCGTTTCATGGATTCCTTCGAAGATTCGCGGAATGCTTTTCATAGGTCGGATTGGTTGGTGTGTTTGCAATTGGTGACTTCCTTGTGTTTTTCCATATTGGAATAATTGTGCTGGTGGATTAATCACGAAGCATGTTCTTGCTCTGACTTGATGGGGACTCTGTAGCCAAGAAGTGACAAGGTGTCTGCGCTCTTTTGAGAATCTCCTGGTGATATTATCTGGACCAGTTGCCTCACCGTTTCTAGTCTTCGTTTTGCAAGCCGAAATTCCTCCTCTGTGATGAATGGCATTGGTCTTTTCATACGATCACTGAGAGTGATGTTGCCAACAGTGGAATTTGTGAACGCTTTATATTCGTACTATATCCTTTTCTTGAGTCTTGCGCTCTTCTCGAGGTCTTAAGTCATCTTTGATTTTGGGAGTGCCCCACCTTTTTTTTTTGAAACTCCTCTCGATATATTTGTTGCGGGGAGAGAAACTTCGGTACTCGTGATATT